AATCTGTTCGTAAGTATCTGTCAGTAGTTTCAGAGCCTCAAAAAACTTATTTAGAGTCACCTTTGCGATATTTTGTTGTCGAGCCAATTATTGAAATGTATGTTTCTGTTTTTAGTCAATTTTCATTCACAAATTTATCTTGAAAAATATACTCAATGAATTAATTAATTAATAAGAAAATTAATTATTAATTCACTAGTAGCGGCAAATAACAAGTGCTTTATAGATTCGTCCGTCCTGTTAGATCCTGAGTAGCTTAGTGGTTAGAGCAGTCGCCCGAAAGGTGCGCCCATCACAGAGTACCTAGCTGATGGAATTTTTAAACATAAAAAAGGGTAAAAACGGGACCCTATTACTGCGTCTCCGCTATCCATCACCCCGTCGTCTGTCTGTCACCAGACTAGCTCCTGAAATGTGATAGGAAGTAGTGGTCAAAGATGGTGTAGTTCTGTTACCGCTTTCACTGATACGAGAAACAGAACAAAATAAATATTTATTCATCAAAATACTCAGTCACGCATGTATAACACAGGACCCTAAGAGATTGGCGGGCGATGCCCTTGGCAAAAAGCTAGTTAAAAAATCCCATAATCCAGACGTTTTCTTTTTGCTCGTATTTTATTCCACGTAGTATCTCTTTTGATCTTCTTACATAACCTCAGTTAGGTAGGTACTTAATGATCAATTTCGTTGTATTAAATAAACTTTTTTCAACATCGACACTGTTTTTCTTGTGGAAAGTGGAAGGGAAGAAAAAGGATAAGAATTGCTGAGGACATCAAGTTGTCTTAATCCGGCACTGATGACTGATAATAAAACATTCAATTTGTTTACATTTTTTTATTAAACTAACCAAATAAATATCTTACTAACTTATTTTACAATAAATAGTGAAATTTCCTAGAACATTTGGAATGTCATAAATATCTGCATTTGCCATATAAATAACAAGCTATTACGGTCGATATGTAAGAGTCAAACCAACGATTGGCCTGATGAGTAAATAATAAATAGAGTTATAATGCGTGGCACATAAATAGAACCATGATGGCGATTTTATTTTGTAGTCATTGACAATACTGCGTTGCTATGATTACCGCGGCGTCTCACCCTCGCACCTCAATTGAATCCGATTTAACGCATAGTTCAACTTATAGATAGGAATCTGACGTACGACTGCCTATCCTTGAATATAGCTCGTATACGACATGTAAGCAAATATTATGGTGATATTTAGTTTTATTGTACTACTCCGATGTCTTTCTAAGTTGGCAACACTGCTGTCAAATCCCTTATCATCATTCTTTACCATTCGTTCTTCGTTATTAAAACACTTGTTATAGAAGTAAACAAGAAATGTCGTCATAACATAGCTACGATGTCGTTAGGCAGCACTAAATCTAAGTCTTGTTTAAACATTATTGAATAGACTGTTCAACAAAATTTTAAAACCATCTTCTTTTTATTATTTTATTTTTTTCATAGATAATAAAAAAAATGTTAATAATATACCGGAGAAAAATTATTTCGACAATATTGCATCTTAATACGCCTGTGACGTCACCAGTTTGTAAATAAACGACAACTTAGATTTTGCATGTGCCTGTCTTATGTTCAATGGTAATAGATGAATACATTCACATTTTTATGATAGATATTTATGTGCAATACCAGAATTAATAAATATAACAAAGTATTCGTTGAAAGTGGTTAAAATTTGGTTAGAGAACACTTTTGTGACGTGACGTCATGACGGTTTTCAATTATATGACAAAGGCAATAATCACGCTATTGCTCTGTATATTTCTAATAAACTATTATCAATGCAATTTTCTATCGGATTAATCAAAACTTTTCATTAATGTTAACGGAAATATATTGTAACAATTTATACTTAATTTTAATTGAAAAATTGTGTTCTTAAAACATCTCGTGATATATTTCTTTTAATCGAATAGATTGTCAGTTTGCGAATTCAATGGCAAAAATGCAATTTATTATATAACGCCATTAGAACACAGTAATGACGTAAATTTAATAGAGTCCAGACACAAAATGAGAATAGTGAAAAGTGATTCTCGTAGTATACGTATCATAGATTGGTACATTTATTTCTAAGGTTCCACGAGTTTGTAAACCATTATTTACTATAAGATAAAAATATATATTTCATATGGAAAAACACGCTGTTACATATCCAAAATAATTATTACAAATAAATAAAAGTATATCAATTTCTTTGTTTTATATATTACTTTCTGTTTAGAATACTTATTCTCAATAGAACTTTGGACGTAATACTGATGTATCCGAATGTGAGAATAATTTTAAATAATATATTTCTTCACATTGTTCAAAGTTGCAACAAGACATTCACAGAAAATCTGAGTAATTCAACCATGGAAATATTTTACAAATTCCTTAGCTACAACAAATTTCAAGTCATTTTAAATAATAGTTTTACGAATTATTAGGCACAAAAAGGTACTTTGATTTCCAGCAATCAACATGGCATTCAATTATTGAGCCAATTAATACTTTACATTTTTAAACTATTCATCGACCCCGTAATAATAATTATTACAAATGATCGAAATAGGCAGAGTTATTTAACCTTCTTAGAATATATTAGTAAAGTATGGATATGCCCGACGTTTCAAAATTTTAATTATTATATTAAAATCAAAATGTCTCCATATTTTTATACCTAAAAATATATTATCATGCTACTATGACAAATTATTTATTATAAAGTTAATATAAATTTAAAAACAGTTTTCCCATAATCATATTCATATTATTATATACATATATATATGTGTGCGAACATCAACAGCAAATAACTCTACCTACTCCGACCATTGAACTATTACGTATATAATTCTGGATATAATTAGTAGCAAGATTACAATGGATCTTTAATCATTACAATTATCGCCTTCCATTACTTCTAATTACGTTACAAAAATTCTTTAATTCCAATAAAAAACACAGCACCCAAAAAATCTTTGAAATATTACACCTAATACTTATCAATGTGTTATTAATTTGATTACACTAATTTTGAATGTAAATATCAATCGATTGACTAGCCGTGACAGATTGTATCTTATTGTAAATATATATTTTATAAATTATTTTTTATTGAATGAAAGAAAGATAGCCAATATTCCACAAGTGAGTAATAAGGAGTGCCCGACTGAAACTTCGGCTTCGGCATCGGCCACCTTCGGCCAAAAAAACCCATCTTCGGCGAAACCTTCGGCTTCGGTCCAAAACCCGGCCAAATCCGAAGATTGAACGAATTGTTACGAAATCCAGTGTAGTGCACAAGCGCCCTCACTGTCAAATATCACATTGCATGCGCGTCAAGACAAGTTCGGCCGTGTATCTCTGTATCAACTTCTATATGAGACAGTCAATATAAACCTTCAATATTTAAGTTTTGAAGTAATTTTAATATTAATTGTAGCTTACTTAGCAAAATTAATTACTGAAAGATTATAAACCTTCGGTTTCGGCTTCGGCTTCTGCCAAAAATAAACCTTCGGTCGGACACTAGTAGGTAATAAGTGAAGTATACAGATTCAAGTTTAGATTTTAAGAATTTAGTTACATCATCAGCTTTAGAGTAAAGCTATGTATATATAGCTTTACATATAGCTTTACCTAAGCAATATTTTTATTACATTTATATATAATAAAGTTTAACAAAACTGTCAATATATGGCACTGTAGCAGCACTCTGAATAAAGCTAGTCTTAAACAAGAAAATAAATTACTATGGCAATAAATAATTTAAGTAATCAAACCACCTTAATGAACGTGCCAAAATGATAATAAAAAGATTTCGCCTACATAATAATGTACATAAAAGTACACCCACGTCTGAAATTCGACGTTTTTGTAACGTCAAAGATGACTAACTGTTAAGTGTATACATAGTTTTATATTTTACTACACACACGTACGTTTTGTCAAATATTTAATTTACATTGAAATTGTAAATTTATCTATATAGTGCACCTACAGCGTATAATTTTTGTTTACATAATGTATACATGTAAAGATTTTTATTTAATGTTAGGTACTTTAATATCACGACCGCAAGCCAATGAAAATTGGAGTTAACAATAGTCTCGTTGGCACAAAAGATTATGACGTAATAACGATATAAATAAGTATAATTTAAAAAAATAATCACTAAAACTAAGTTATATGTTTCTAAACTACTATTTTAGTAGTTTATATACACACCACTCATAAATGCTCAGAAATGATGCATACAACAATTGCTCATTATATGATAGTGATTGTGTATTATTATTATTATAGTGAATGGATTATGCTTTATAGATAATCACGAATATATTTTGTATAAATTAAAAACTAACAAACAACCTTGCATTTTAAAAGTACGTAAAACTGAATGAAAACAATACAAATCGACTATAGTCTCGATTCTTTGGAACATAATATCTACACCGTCTCGTGTTTGGTGCTCTTTTTTTTTAATTTCTTATTACTTGTTCAGCTACTCTTGGAATAGATAGAGCGATGGAAGAAATAATGTATAAAAATGAATATCAATAAGACCTTTAACAAACTACTTATTTGGGCAATTGAAAATGAAATATTAATTTTCACTGCCAGATTCTTTTGACAGCTATCGATCACAATCAATATTAAATACACACACAGAAAGTAGCCTAGTCCTATGCGTATGATAATTGAAATAATGAATGAATGGATACTTTATGACTAAATATAATTAACATGACAATAAATTCGGTTCAAATATATGAGTAAGAGGTTATCGACGAATATATGAGCATTTCGATTACTCATTGATTCAACAAAATTGTGTGTAGTCTGTTAAAAGCTCAATCAAAAATATATGTTTACAGAAGTGTAACATACCCTTTACTTTTATGATATGAATCGTGGAGCGTAATACAACTATATAACAGGTAAATTCTATTGATTAATTTCAACATACTTCATATATTCACAGATTTCTTAGCTGCGGGTACTCGAGGTGAATTCGTATATAATCTCCTAAATAGATCTTGAACTTTGTTGTCCGGGAACAAGTCAGTCATTATCACTATAACAAACAAATAATTCAATACAATGTCCGCAACCATAATTGCTAATAGATCAAATTACGACTGTATTTCGTTAGCAAAATCAATCTGATTTGGTGACTTTAAAGAACTAATTTGTGACTTTGAAAATCACAATATCCTGAAAAACAAAAACTAAAATAATAAACAATTGTCAAAAAAGTTTATTCCACCTGAATGTTATTCCTGAAGGTAACATACAAAGATATTTCAGATTTTACTATTTTACACTGTCGACTTTCAATAGAAAGGCTCTAGATCTGTATGACTTAGTATGAATAAGAAACAGTTTTGTAAGACTCTAAATTATACAGGTTAGTTATAAACAGTGGTCGGAATAAGGTAGAGTTATTCATGTACTTACACTGATTTCATACAGCAAAAGAATAAAGTGGATATGCCTCAAATCCCGAGATTAATTTTAAAGAGCAGAAAAAATCCCGTGATTTTTTAAATAAAAAGTTATTTACTTTTACACAATTTAAACTACTGCACGCACGACGTTGTCAAACTTACATCAATGAAAGAAAGAAATAAAGAAATTCTCGGAAGGTCCACATTAATATCAACATTTCGATGCAAGTACATAAATAACTCTACCTAATTTCGACCTCTGGTTATAAAACATAAAAAATTCGTTAGGGTTTGCTTTCATATAAAAATCTTTTTAATTGAATTTACCGCTCGCATGTTAATTTACTCTATGCGCATCATAAAGATAACATACATTTTATGAATAAATACAGATCTATAAATACCACGACAGTCTAATAAAATTTTGAAAATGTTTTTGCTTAAGTTCGTAAATCGGATTATGTTTTTTTGTGAAGTAAGCGTAGTTTCAAATGACCCTGTATTAAAAAGTGAACAATTTACCTTCTAACAGCACAAATATGAGCCGTTTGTTGATCTCCTGCGTTTGACATAGATCAAAAACTGTTAGAAGACCGCGACGCGCTGTATCTGACCCCACCATATGACGCAGCTCATCTGCAAAACAGAATAAGCCGTACACTATTAAACGAGTCGTATTATATGTAACGTGTTACAAAAATTGAATCTTAATCCAGTTAAAATAAAGTTTATTTTAATTAAGGTGTTCTTTGTGAACAGTAAAATCTGTATATCTACTATAATATGCTAGTATTTCTGATATAAAAGAGATATGCGAATTTCCTTAGGATTTCAGCCTAAATGTTACAGTGATGATTTATGTTGATTAAGAAATACGAGTGTAGCGCGTTTATATTTGATTTTATGATGTTTCGGGCCCTTTACAAAGCAAATCAAATATAAATGCGTATAAACCCGTTCAAAATAGGTTTATTTAATGAGTAGTGCGAGTGAAAATATAAGAAATCAGTAAAACATACGAATTCCCCTAATAATACAATTTTAGACCTCATTATGGGATATTAGAGTAGTGTAAGGAAAAAGCATGCAATGTGTCCGATCTGTATGTGCTGATTATTCGTAACATAGTGATCATTTGCGTCCACTATACGTACGGAAGTCGATGTAATAAGAAAAATCGTCAAAATCTAAAATTTCAAGGAAATTAACGACAATTTGATACAAAATATGCATTGACATTTTAATTTTTACAACTCTATTTAAACAACAGCTAAGGGATCGTCATTTTCTTAAGTAAGATTGTTCAATAATTTATTAAAACTTAGTTTTTGTTTTTAAATTGACTTGATGTTTGAAAAAAAATACTAACGATATCTTAGTGCCATTTGAGAAGACTCATGTATTAACGATTAAAAAAATGTAAGTCGATAAGGAAGACATATTTCCGAATTGCTACATCTCTTTAAACATGGCGTCTTTGTCTAACGGAAATTCAACATTTGTTACTGATTATAATTAATTCTATCGAATGTAATTATTTCCTTTACATATTAAAAAATATGAAATCTTTTTGCTAGGCCCAGTATCGTGAACCTCTACTATGGTGTGTTTAATGACTGTTCTATATTAAACTTTACCTGAACATGCCGACAGAAGTGCAACTTTAGCAGCCACCCTCGTACGAGCCTTCGTTGACGAGTCTCTATTGGTGTAGTTAGTGTTATGTCTATTCGTTAGCCATTGCCTGTACATAATAATAGTCATTAAAAAACACAGGAAGTTTAAGTGAGTAAACCTGTAAAAAAAATTTCAAATATGTAGGGTATGGAACTGCACAAATTTGAAAATTTAAAAAATCTATTTGTGATGAGAAAGGTTACGTTAATTTACATCGTTTTATCGAATTAACGTGTTAAATTCTAATTATTATTATTAATATTTGAAAAATGCATAAAAATCTTTGTCCCTGGCGCTCTGAGATGGGACTCGAATTCATGACCCTTTTAAACATTTTACATTAAGAATGTTTTTCGGTATAGCCTTGTGAATGCAAAATTGATTAAATACAATAATTTGAAAAAAAAAATCATCTTTAACGAAAGAAAATATATTTGCAAATATTTAATCTTTTGGCTGTTTGGGCGATTGCCTGAACATTGATAAAAATACGCACTGTAATAGCGAATTCGACAGTCCTGTTAGATCCTGGGTAACTCAGTGATTAGAGCAGTCGCCCGGATTGCGAAGGCTCGTGGGTTCGAGGGTGGATTTTTTAAGTATTTTTTTTATTAAGAATGTTCTGATAATAATTTATTTATCTTATTCCAATGGCCTTCGTTTACATGATCTCGTCACATACTTACTTAAATGATTTCAAATACTGCACAATATTCCTAGGTGAGGTTAACGAAGTCACTAAATCGAAGACTTTCCTAAAAGAAAAACAGAATATTAAGTAGCCACTATATTTAGTTGGTTAATATAAAAAAATCATAATAGACACACTCTTGTTCTCAATGTTGAGATCTACAGTTACTCAAAAACAACTTATTGACTTGATTTGATTGTTTGTTTGTTTGCAACGAATAGGCTCCGAAACTACAGGACCGATTTAAAAAATTCTATCAAGCTACATCATATACGGTGAACATAGTTATATATTATCCTAAAAAAATGCATATAAAGGGATGAAAATGAGAGTGGAAGTCGGGAATTAAAACGTTACATAGTTATTATATATTATTATATCCGTGTCACGATGTGAATTGATATCCAATGTGCTGTTTACACAGAAATAAATAACCTTACTAATATTTATCCCGGTAAATCGTTTCCCAGGAATCACGCCGGCGAAACCGCTGGCAGAAAGCTAGTGCAATATATATCTTACTTGTTCACTCTATCTGCTATAAGAGTTCTTAGAGGTGCTAGTAATTTCCGACGAAGCCACAGCCCTCTGATACTGAGCACTTCTTCTAGTAACCGTAACGCCATACTTTCATCGCCGTCCTAGTAAAATAATAAAATAACCATAATCAATTAAAAAAGAACTTAAGCAGCTATGCAAAAGGGTCTAAAATACAAATGCAATTCATTTTCCACAAATTTTAATAACTGTGCTCTATTAGAATAAGGATGATACCTGTATAAAAAAAAACTATTTAGTCCCTCAGTCAGATAATATAAAAATATTAGATACGTATATTTGCTTCAATTAAACAAGAAATGGCTTAGATAATAGACATTCAAGTTGAGGAGTGGGGGCTCGCTACACTATAACTATGTTGAAAATTTACGCTGCCCCAATGCGGATTGGAGGGTCACAGCCGGTACCAACAATTTCACGTGCCTTCCGAAAGCATGGAGTAGCTAGAGATAATAATTTTCGGTCACCGATCCCGTGACCGGTCCTTGCGAAAGTTACTTAACAACAACGATCGCAGGTTGCGACGCTTATCCACTACACCACCGAACTACTAAAAGACCAGCGTCGTGGACATTACATTTTATCTGAATAACAAAATTTTACTCACATCCTGACCATCGGAAGAATTACCACTTTTCAAACCGTCGTAAGGAGTCTCGCCGCTCTTCCCTTGGAACACTTTGGAAATACCTAATAATGATAATTTTAATATTAACGTTGAATTTTACATCTCACTCTCTCCGTCGGTAAATGCAATGAATAATACTTTACCATCCATCACACCATCCACGGTGTTAGCAAATTGATCTGGCATATTCTTTAAAGTTCTCATGCCAGCTTTCAATGGATTCACAAAGAGCACATCCAACTATAAATGAAATATTATCTGTTATTTTTTGTATGAAATTTTATATACACAAAGTTACATATATATAAAAAACAAACATAGTTACAATAAAATATTAAAAAATGTCAACTGTTTTAAGTCTACACTCCCTTGAGTGTATTTTTTTAATACATGTAAAGATAAAAGATTGTCACCAATTTTTTTTTTTTTGTTTTTTGCTGGCGGATTAAATTTACACTGATATCTATAGTCGAGTAGGAGTAATAACTTAAATATAAGTCATGACTTAAGCAAATATTGTTAACTAATAGACAAGAATTTGAATAAACTAAGATCTGTCAATAACTAATAATAATAGTATACTAACTTAAGAATCCTTGTTTCATTCAAATTCTGTTTAATTGTCAAAAATATTTCCTTAAGTTATTACTTTAACTATAGTATACTTCTACTATAGATAAAAGTTTTAAAATTACTATCGAAAACTTAATTATCAATTATTACTTCATAACTAAATTAACTTGAAAAATCAATAGTTTGTCCATTTGAAATACTAAATCAATGTACTCACGGCATTAATATGTTTCTCCGCCTGCGTTTCAGGACTCAAGAAACCACCCAAATAATCTGGAGATAAAAGGCTCATGTATTGAGTTTTCTGAGAGAGATTAGCTAACGTTTGGAGGTAGCTGTTCAGCATCCGCTTGCGACTCTCCAGAACTGAGCGGGAAGTGTTTTGAAAGGTTTTCTTCGCTGGAAATGGAATACTAGCTAACTCGGGCCACTGAAAAATATAAAACTTGAGTAAAGGATGTATATAATAAACAGTTTTTTTGTAAACGTCAAATGAGACAGACGGAATAGTGAGCAAAAGGTAAAGTAATAGTGAGCATAGAGGGAATTTCATATATTTTGAATAAAGAATGTAATTTTATTTATACATAATTTCTGCATATTTTAATGTAAGGAAAGAAATTGTTCAATAGGAATATTCAACTCCATTTCGTCGTGGTACCAGCAATAGGATGTATGTCAAAATACTCGCTGTTTACAAGACGGACAAAAAACTATTTTTTTTCTAAATTTTTTGTTTTTCCGTCAATTTTATAATTTTCTTATTAATATACTGGCAAAAGAGTGTACATAGTGAGAGGAAAGATATTATGTAATAACAAGTACATAAAAAAATTGACATACAACTATTTGCAATGTATTACTGTCTTTTTTGACATACATCCTATTGCTGGTACCACGACGATTTGAAATAATGCTTGTAACTGTTTATTTTAATTTAAAAAAGCCACGTAACAAATACTTAGGAAAAATAAATGTTATCTTGCCTCATAATTAAATCAAAAATCAATCTTTTCTATACCCGCGAAAACACTGTCAGTCATTGTGGTATGGAAGTTACGCTCAAAGATCGAAATCACTCATTGAGCCAAAAAATTGTTCACGCGTTATGGCAATATCAGAGTAACCACATAGCGAAATCCGTGTCGTGGCTGACATGCTATTCGAAATCAACGCGTTGTGGCTATGAAGAAGTGTTGTGACTTTTCTTGATTGCCACAATCATAGCGTTCTGATCATTAATTGGTTTAACTAACTGTTTCATTTACAGTAGTGGTTCGCTTCTGGCACTTCGCCGGTCGCTGCAGCGACACGCTCGCTTTGCTCGCTCGGCTCGTGCGTTGTTTATCATACTCTAACATAACCAAATATGATTCTATACACTCCATAGTTTTTCATTAATGCCACAACGCGTTGTGGTCGAATAGCATGATAGCCACGACACGGATTTCTCGAATAGCATGATAGCCACGACACGGATTTCGCTATGTGGTTTTTCTGTGAATGCTATAACGCGTCGTGAGCGTTTCCATAAGAGCCATAACACGAATTTCGCTATGTGGATCTAACGACCGATTACAAAACAAATAGATATAAATAAATTAAGAACATCTTCATCTAAGAATTTGATTTATAATTAATAGCTATATATTTATGATGATTATTTATGACTAATCTGACAGTTGGCGCCCCAGTGACGTCCCACAATGGTGGGACGTGTTTCGGCGGTCATGTCACGGTTTCAAGTCACGTGACACACAGACAAAAAACACGACTTTTAGTTTTAAGATAATAAAATAATCGTGCGATTTCAGATAAAAAATCAGAATTTCTATATTTATAACGATATAAATTTTAGTTTTTGTGCAATTTCGTGACTTATTTTTCACTACCGAAACTACTCTATTCCAAAAGACAAAATGATCGAAAAAGTTTGCTACATGTGTTAGGGCTGCCATTTACGTCAAGGTATACGTTATATTATCTATTGAAGAAAAAATCACAACTTAAGAGACCTAAAACACTCCAAAATGTGTATATTATAGAATCCAACTAATATGGCAAATATGAAACATTTCTGTAGAATATGTACAGAAAATATATTTAAATGTATAATGGGTATTGTTTCTATAACTATATGGCAGGATTGAGGTGCGAGAGTCACGGATTTGATAATTAAAAAATTCTGATTCGAAAATTCGAAATTCCGCTTTTTGCCCAGGCACATTGGTAATATATTATTTGTACTTATGGTACTGTAATTTTTATAAACAGCATACAAATTTCCTTATTTTTCAAGTTATTGATGCTATTATATAGTATAACAATATACACCTGATATGATTAACTGATATATCTGCGCGGAATACTAAATATCGCACGGCAAATGTCGACCAATAACAATAATCCAAGTATCACGTCATCGCGCGATCCACCAATAGCTACACGCCTAATCTCCGTTGAATGTGAGTGAGACGAACATCTAATACATCGTAATTTAGACCTAATTCTTATTGAATTAAGAGTCACTATAAATTTTGGACTCGCGCACGTAGGGTTCCGTACCGGAAACGCTTTGGGTACACTTTGGGTACGGATCCCTAAGAACGGGTCCATGTTGCTTAAAAACTACCTTATTTATCAAGAATGTAGTTATTATTATCTTGATTTACACTAGAACTGCGTTTTATGATTACCTTTTCTTTGATCGAAGTGTGCAGATCATAGAAGTCACTATATCTTCTGTAAATGTGCCAGACTTCGTTGTCAGATTGCCTCGTAACAGCTATTGCGTATATGCCAAAACTTCGTCCTTTATCTTGTACAAGAGCTAAAATAATTAATTCATAAGATAATAATAAAAGAAAAACAAAACGAAATGAAATCAGCGTATGGGATAGACAGGAACAGAGGATGGCGTATAGAGCGTCAAAAAATATTTTAACGATGTAAATATTATTAATAATCCTATTAATTACTCGTAAACTATTATGATTATTGTAAAAGTTCTCAATTCCAACCCTTAATTTGTTAATAAGTATTTATTAATTTTCCCTACAAATTTAAAAAAGAAGAGGAATCAACAAAATTCTGAATTGTATAGGTAAAGATTTTTTTCTAACAAGAAAATTTTATGATTCATGCTTTATTTAAATTAAAGCTATTTTGAATATTATTTCTATGTACAAGACTAATTGAAACTAATTTATTCAAGCGCCCTCTATATGGAAAATCACTGTTATAATCTTTTTATTTGTCAATAGACGGCTCTAATGTTCTGATTTGTTCTAATGGTTGTGTTAAGTGTTTCATAAACGTTAATAAAAAATTGTACATACCAGTTTCAATAATACAGACAGACAGAGGCGATATCATGTTTTTAGTACTGCGACTAATTTCCGAATGCGAAAGTGATAAATTACTAGCATTCGCCGATGTCAAATTAGACGGACCTAAAATTTAAAATCATATTAGAAATCTTAGTGGTTCATAAAGGTAGATGGCGCTATGCAAACTATGTGCTATGAGTACTCATGTCATATTTCTGTATCGTATGCGCTCGACACGAATTGGACATGAACTCGACATTCGTGGTAAAGATTCAAATTGTAACAAAACGTCGAGCATCGAGCATGAAGTTACAATGAAATACACCAGTGTATACTCGTCTGGTAATTTATTTTTCTTTAGCATTTTAATTTACCATCTTTTTTCCACGTACACATTACATTGTGATATTTATGAAACTTAATAAATTAAGATCATAAAAACTAACCTGCGCTTTCATTAATTAATCTCTCAGCGAAATTACCAACTATATCTGACCGTGATCTGTTATGTCTGGTCCCTGGTACTGTCATAAACTCTCCTACAAGAAATGCAGACGATAGTCAAAAAATATATTTTATGATCACACATTATAAGGCTTACGTTAAGGAGTAAAATATTTATATATTTACATGTAGTGCAATAAAAAGTTTATTTATTATTAATAATACGGGTGTAGACAGTAAACAAATATAAATACATTTTATATTATTTTTGGTAGTGTTTAATTCAGCTCGTGACGTCACGCCCTTCTTACTCATATCAGAACTTAGAGAATTCAACCTTATGCATACATAGAACGATATTCGTTTCAGAGTGCCGTGACGTCATAGCAACGCCAAGATAAGTGGCGTTTCGCGGAAAATTTTGAAAATCAGATTTATTTTTAGATTATTACTTATTATATGAATGATCTTTTAAAATACTTTTTTGGATATATTTAATATATATCTGTAAAATAAAAATATGATAAAAATTGTCTACGCCTCTATGTACTCCAGCTTATCTTATCTTCTTATCAATAAAAAAAATCTGCACATCATAAGTTAGCACCCTATAAGTATACGTTTAGATTTAAAAGTAACTTAAGATAGTACGCTCATGAAACAGCTAGGTCAAACCCTGTAAATAAATAGTTGCGGTTCTAATAAACACGAAGTTTAGCATCGTATAAATATAATTTATTTTAATAAGCAAAAAGTTTTAAATCTGACATATTATGAAAAAGTTAAATTCTAAACAATCTGAGACTGATAAAAAAACTGAGTGTATGTGGATTCACAAAATGTGTACCAGAAAAAAGCTGTCACGTGATTGTGCAAAACGTGTATATTGAGCTAAAATACTTCATTCAATTAAGTGTGATCCACACGGTTGCCAGCATTCCAACAGAGGCAATCCTGCTTGTTACCGTCTAGACGGCAGTTGTATACTAGAGTTGTCCCAAATTGTAGGGAGTCTAAGCCCTCTATGTACAATGAATCAAAAAAAATTGACGGAAAAATCCAATTAAAAAGTGTCCAACTGTCTACTATCAACGAAACATTTTTTTGCAAGGATCAATAAAAAATCACAAAATACGTAATGATGGATGACAACATTTTACAGTAGCTTTTTCACAGGAGCTGTCCCTTCTGGATTCCTGATTGTACGTGGGATGCATCGGAAGGGATTTAATTGGTATGCCACCACGTGTTGACTAGACTCCAGGCGGCTAGATTGCCACATATCCCCTTACTGCCCGTCCAGCGAAAGAGATAGTGCATAATGCATGGCACCTAAGACACCAAACATACTAAATTTGAGAAATGACAGCGATAGTTCGTTATTTTTATCATACGTCGCCTTCATAGTCCCATGTTCAAATCAAAAAAAAATATTACTTGTTTTATTTATAACCACTAAACTATATATTAGGATTTTTTTATTACATTTTTTAACTGCAATCTATAAAAAACTTCATTTTATAAGATAGTTTTTCTCCTTTCGAACACAGTCCACTGTTGGAAAACAACACAATCACCTTTGCATTGCCTCTGTTTTACAAACGTGTGAAACACACTTTATTCTACGGGCCATTACATTGCACGTAAGCCGTAATGATATATATTATTATTCGATAACTTGGAAGCATATTCAAAGTATTTTAATGTACAATCAACAGCATGTCAGACTATACAAATATTTCAAATTTCTTCATTTGATTTTAAACTTAATGCTTTGAGAATAGCGGATAAAATCAACTGGAGAAATTTGACATATTCCGGTTCATAGAGCCGTGGGTACTCAATAATGATATAAATGATTAGATTAATCTGTAACGGTGACTATAGAAAGCAGTCATTTAATTTTGGGATAAAGGAAGAGAGGATTCGTTTGTGAAATAATTTGGTATTGCTCATGGAGTTTAACAAACAGATATTATTCGCAAGTTGCAAATATTTCTTTGATATACAAATATTTCTAACTTAAACAAATATTATAGATAAATTAACCCTCTGAAGACTAATCTTAATAATGGAAGTATTCAATTACCGTTGCAGAACTGTTTTTGCAAATGTATATTAACGAAATGTGTGCCATTGGAATAGGTAGACTATATCAAATTCAACACTGGCATCAAAAAACTTAACAATACGGAGTGAATTGTCACGTGAAGAGAACGCCCAAAAAATTAGAGTGATAATAGATATCAATTCAAAAACAAAATTAAACAAATAATTACGATTCAACATAGTTCAAAATACATAGACAGCAGATTAAACAGTATAGAAAAGCAAAAGAAGAGTAATAAAATTAATGAATCAGTCCAGTCATAAAGTAGTTAAATGTTAGGTTTTGAAAATAAAAAAAGAAAGTTAGTATAAATGTATATAAAAATTAAGTACCAATGTGCTTAATAAAACACTCTGAGAAAACACATCATATTATAATTAATTTTGGATATTAAAAAAAATGGCTGTACAAATTAAAGAGCATAAGGACTACATGCTTCGCTTCTCATTTGACGTTATTCATCAATTCATCATAAAATGTGAAGGTTTAAATTTTAAATTGTTAAATATATTTTTCTGCACTGTTCAAATCTGCCTTTATCATAATAATAATACTGGAGATGTACTGACTTAGGTTATTTCATTAATTTTGAGCTGTATACACGTGAGAATAAGGTTAGATTTACATACACCTCCCAGTGTAAATGTTTTATTAATGTACTTAATAATAGGTCTCCTTCAATTTGACAATATAGAAGGAAAAAATACTACAATTCAAACAAAGAAACGTTGGTACAACACAATTAAATTTTTAAATATGACTGCGATAAGACTAGTCTGCACATCCCCACTAAATATCCACGTAACTTCAAAAATTACTACCAAAATTACTGCATTTAGGTAGTGTGTGGTTCTTGTTACTTGGTATTCTTCGGGTGAGGGACCGAGGGAATGTGAAGGACTTGTTTGGGAGGTCGTACTTGTATTTCGATTTGAAGAGCAACTTTGGCAACTGATGCAGACAATTCTTCATTATTCTCTTGCACTTCTCTGGAGATAACAATACGAAGCCCGTTTGGAAAAGCAGAGAAAAGCAACTGAAGATATAATTATTAAAATTTTTGCAGTGAACAACCAATTAAATGCTTAAAAATGTTATTTGCCTTTGTGCTTAACCGAATTTTGCCAATTAAGAAGCCAGTGTGTGCGATGTTCGTTTATATTATATTAATTATATTATAAAGTTTATTTGTAAAACACGAAAATAATTACACTTAGCACTTACCACTATATTTCTTATCACTTTTCTCCTCTTTCCTACATTCCCTAAAACAAAAATATGTTTTAATCTTTTACATATTCATACAAAGAATTTTTGAAAAAAAAAACTGTCTTCAAACCTGGAAAAATGTTAAGCATCTTAAATTTTATTGAAGCCGGGTATACGTTTTGTGACTTCAATTGAAGTTTAAAAAAGCATATGAAACGCCTTTAAAAAAGTATTATGTGTTCCGTTAGACGTCCGAAGTCCATTATGAGAGAGTACATCGTTTTCTTACTTTTTATTTCCTGTAATGTCGCTATCTCCAGTTCCGTTTCCGCTGTACGTCCGCAGCGCCCCCTAGCGCCCTTAAGAAAAACTTTCTCCCGCCAAAGACAAGCCGCCATATTTGTCATTGTTGCGTCGTTTTTTTTCAACGGTTGGAGCATTTTATCAATGTCGCGAAAAATTTAAGAATTTTCGAGATTAAAGTAGAGAATTCTATGTTTTTGGTGTCGTGTGACATAAAATAAAGTGTTATTTCAAATATTTATTTGAAAAAAGTGTCTCCGTTCCGTAAATTTTTTTTTATAACCGCGTAGTGGATACCTTCACATCATGAGTGATAAAAATTCACCTCGAAGAAGTTCCCAAAGTTCTTCATCGTCGCGGGGATCTTCATCGGATGCTTCGCGCGAGGCGAGTCCCCCGCCGGCTAAAAAGAAGAAGTCGGTGGCTCAACCTGACCGAATAATAGATAGCTCCGATTTGGATCGCAGGTTTGACATACTATCTCAACAACTGGTGAGTCACGTGAATAGTTTTTTACTGTCAAATTATACGCAGATTAATTCTATGCCTCGTACAATAGTTCCAAACCTTGAAATCCCAAATGAAAATTTAGGTATAGAAAACGAGAGCTTTTTGCGTCCTCCTGTAGAAACGGTTTCAAAGCTAGGTGACATAGCAGAATTAGATGTATCCGTTAAAGAACCCTCGATATCTAAGGCAAATCCGGAAAGATTAGCAAAAATTTCTTCCATGCAAAGATTTGATTCACCTGATTGGAATTCAGTGCGATATTCGGACATTCAGAAAAAATATATTGCTACCCCCGCCTTCATCGAATTAAAAGTAAATGAAGAAATGCGACGTTTAGAAGACCCCTTCGCTCCTTTAAGATGGTTTCAAATGGAACGTAGTTTTGCGACACTATCGAACGCATTTCTAGCACAAAATGAATCGGTAAATTCAGCTTTACAAAACCTGATTGACTGGTCTGCCACATCTAATGTGCAAATGACGCCGTCGAGTCTTTATTCAAAACTGAAGGATTTATTTGGAAACGACTCGGCATATAAGAATGTATCTCACGATATCTTACAAATTATTTGTGGGAAAAGAGCGGAAGTTCTTGAACTACGACGTCGTACACTACTGAAATCCGTAAAAGATAAATATATTCGAGAAGATCTAGAGAAAATTCCTCCGTCTTGCGAATATATGTTTAACCCTCAACAATTATCGTCTTACATACAAAAAATTGGAGGACTGGATAAAATAGAAAAAGTGGGAAATCGTAACACAAAACAGCCTAGGCCAAAATCTCCCCAACCCTCTACGTCGTTCGAGAACAAGCCATTTCGAGTCACCAATAAGAAGCGTAATGGGCAAAGAGAAACCGGTAGTTCGCAAAAACCCTTCGAAGATTTCTCTACAAATAGAAGAGGCGGACGGAAAGATAGAACCAGTAAAAGACATCATAATAAAAGAAAATGACTCGGTCACGTTTACGGGGGGATGTTTGAGGTTCTTCCACAAGAATTGGTCCCGGTTATACCCACCGAAAACGATACTAAGTTTAATAACTGGAACTCGAATTCCTTTCAAAAGTCACGCCCCTCTGGTATTGCCAAGCTTAGAACTAATGAAAAATTTTCAAACTCCGATTTCGCAAGCAATGTCGCTGGAGATAAATATACTCATCAAGAAGAAGGTTTTGGAAATAGCTCCTCTGACACCCTCCTTCATTTCACCAATGTTCCTAGTTATAAAATCAAACGGAAAGTCCCGCATAATTTTGAACTTGAAAGCCTTAAATCGTTTCATGGATCCCAAACCATTTCGTCTCTTCAATCACCATCACATGCACGAGTTTCTTCAACCATTCGACTGGATGGTGAAGTTAGATCTCCACCAGGCTTACTTTCATCTGCCAATAAGCCCAGAGCATCGACCTTATCTCCGCGTCAGCTACAACGGACAGCTACTTCAAATGACGTGTCTACCGTTTGGACTAGCTGCGGCTCCTCGGTTATTCGCGTCAGTGACGAATTGGGTTGCAGAAAAGCTACGAGAAATGGGAATGCGCCTTGTAGTATATCTCGACGACTTTTTGTTGGTTCACCAGAACAGAAAGGTCTTAGAGACTCACGTATCAACAGCCATCAAATTCTTAACTCATCTAGGCTGGTCAATCAACAAAGAAAAGTCGATCACAAAACCTACACAATCGATCGAATTTCTTGGAATCGCTTGGGATATTCACCACAATACGAAATCCCTTCCGCCGAAAAAGCTGGCGAAGCTGCGCCAAATTTTATTGACTCGACTCGCTGCAGGCAGTTGGTCCCTCAAGCAGGCGCAATGTCTCTTAGGGCACCTCAATTTTGCTTCCTTCATCACCCACCGGGGAAGGTTGCATTGCCGAACTTTGCAGCGTCACAGCAACCAGCTTCGCCGTGCCATGAGCAAGCATTGTCAGCTCACCGCCGATGCAATCATAGAGCTGGAATGGTGGCTGGAAAATGTACATTTAAAAACACCCATCCATCTGAAGAAACCTGTTACAAATTACTTAATCACGGATGCTTCGGATATCCAATGGGGTGCTCTAGTCAACAACATCAGTGTACAGGGGCCCTGGGAGAATCATCAGAAATCTTGGCATTGCAATATGAAAGAAATGTACGCGGTGATAGCTGCGATTTCAGCACACGCCACGAACCTGAAAAACTCGAAAATTTTGTTTCAAACAGACAACAAAACAGTAATATCTTACATAAAAAACGAGGGCGGAACGAAGTCACAAAAATTATTGGATCTGACAAAGAAGTTGCTAACCCTAACAGACAACCTCAATATTATACTACTCCCTTATCATCTTCCAGGAATATACAACACCGAAGCCGATCACCTGTCGAGGAACCAAACCGGCGCAGAGTGGTCACTTCAAGGCAAAGCTACACTAGATATATTTCAAAGATGGGGAGTGCCGGAAATCGACTTATTCGCTTCTCAGACAGCTCACGTCGTGCCGAATTATGCTACACTAGACTTATCAGACTCGAACGCATGCTTTCACGACGCCTTCAGCAGGATTTGGGACTACGAACTGGCATGGATTTTCGCGCCACCAGGCTTAATACCTCGAGTACTCAGTCACTTGAACACAGCCCGAGGTCGATTCGTAATAATAGCACCCAAGTGGAAGAAGCCCTTCTGGAGACCCGACCTGAAAAACAGATCCCTGACCCGTCCTCGAAAGATAATCAACCTTCACCATTACCTTACGGACACAGTTACAGGCCGAGCACCTCCAGGGGTCAGCAACCTACATCTGGAAGCTTGGCTCATTTCGGGTGGGATTCGTTGACTGTAAATTGGTCACCGGAAGAAAAAGATCTACTAAAATCTTGTTGGAGAGCTTCGACAATGAAAACTTATATCCCAATTTGGAACAAATGGTCTGCTTGGTGTCAGGATAAAAATATTAATTCTTATTCGCCCATGCCTACAGACGTAGCTAGATTTTTGGCATGTCTACATCTAGTTCATCGTTTAGCTTACCGAACCATTCTTGTTTACAAGTCTGTTATTGCTTCCATTTGTGAAACTTCATCAGACACAAAAATTTCATCCAGTCACATAGTTCGGCATATTCTGAAAGCAATATCTTTATCGAAACCAGTGCAGCCTAAAGCTCCTATATGGGACGCTCGAATTCTCATTAATTTCTTAAAAAATATGTTACCTAATCCTGACAGCCTTTATGATGTCTCTAGGCGCGTAGCAGCAATCCTCTTACTAGCCTCAGGAAGAAGAGTCCATGATCTTACTCTTTTGCATTGTGATGATAGTCATTTCATAGATAATCAAAATTCAATTACATTAATTCCCGCTTTCGGTTCAAAAACAGACTCCGCCAATTATAAACAGTCTAACTGGACTCTTCTTTCTTCTCCCGATAACAACATAGATCCATTGCGTTGGCTCAGAATATTAAAAAATCTGACTAATGATATCCGTGGACCAATTACAAACTTATTTATAACCACTAAAGGCACCCCTAAGCCTGCATCTCGTACAGTTATAGGAAACTGGCTTAAGCACCTTCTATCGGAAGCTGGAGTGCAAGCATCAGCTGGCAGTTTTAGGTCGGCGGTGGCATCCTTAAATTGGATGGAAAATTACTCTATTAACGATATTTTAGCAAAAGCTAACTGGAAGCACGAACAAACTTTTAGAAAGTTCTATCTAAGACAAATCGAATCCAATAATGATAACGTGACTGATGAACAATCTCTCTCTCTATTATTTTCTAATGATTAAATTCTTTATTTAATTTAAATCTATTCTATGTAACGTAATTCTTAATGTTTATATAACCCTGATTGGTAATTAATACAATACTTTCAATTATCACATTGTTGCACTTTATTACATTCCTTACAAGCCACCAGGAGATAACAAACAACTCTCTCATAATGGACTTCGGACGTCTAACGGAACACATAATATAAAAATTTTACCTTACAATAAAATTTGTATTATGTTTCCTCCTGACGTCCGAAGTCCACATAATGTCTTCCTGGTGGTTAACATTATCACCATTATGAGCCGAACAATGACAAATATGGCGGCTTGTCTTTGGCGGGAGAAAGTTTTTCTTAAGGGCGCTAGGGGGCGCTGCGGACGTACAGCGGAAACGGAACTGGAGATAGCGACATTACAGGAAATAAAAAGTAAGAAAACGATGTACTCTCTCTCATAATGGACTTCGGACGTCAGGAGGAAACATAATAATTTCACGTTTTTGGAGTCGGTTTATTTTAACAAAAGATTTTATTTTGTTTGTAATACCACATTTAAAAATAATTTGGTGTTACATTACAAAATCAGAGAAAGACAAAGTCGCGATCTTTTGTATTTCGTCGACATATACTGTTATTTTGCAGAACGTTTCCGATTATTTTGTTATAAAACAAAACTGCTGATACCATTCTGTTATTTTTTATTGGACTCCGACAGACCTACAAGCTTTCGATATATAAAAAATACATTCAGTAAATCGTACAACCTCCACCTTTTCGGTTTGAAGTCGGCTAAAACATACTAGTTGGAATAATCAATTTTATAAAAAAAAATGGAAATTCTAGCCTATCATTAATAAGAGAATACCTATATGCTAATTACGCTCTTATTCCATAAGGGATAAATATGCTTACGTATTGTTTTTGTCGACATTATTCTCTTCCGCGTCCATCATAAAGTCGGCTTGCCATGAAGGATCATCCTTGATGAAACAAAAATATTTAAAATTATGAATAATATTAAAAAAAATCTCTCATTAAATTAGTTTCTTGACAGCTATAATTATAAATTATGAAACACGTTAGAAATGTTAACCTATATATATATATATATGTTTATATAATAACTATGTAGTATTTTTTGTTTAAAAATTGTAATAGTTGTTTTGTAATTGTAACTATATATATATATATTTTTTTTTTTTCAAAATTAACAGAGCAACGTGTAACGTCACATTTCAATAAACTAAACGCCAACGTATTTGATGCGAGTGCAACTAGTACTCATATTTGTTGAAATGTCACGTCACTATGACTGATTGTTTTCGTGAGAAAAATAAATCTGATAGTAGTATAATATGATCATATGAAAGTGTTGACAGAACTGCCACATAAAAAAGGTTGTAAGGTGGTGGTTTCCGTTTCCGCCCCCTCTTTTCTCTCACCGTTCGTGTTTGTGCGATGTACACATTTAATTATTTCATTAAAAGAAATAGTTACTGTGCTAACATCGGTTTAGTATTTAACGAATTTGCCACAATCTACCTACGTTACCTGCTCAATGAAATAGAAAGTTTTAAAATAATTTTCGCAACACATTCAAGTAGCCAATAGGGTATTCTACTCGGTTTGAAATAATACTTGTAACTATTTATTTTAATTTAGAAAAAAGCCATAAACTAATATTTCGGAAAAAATAAACTTGTTTTATTGCCATTAAATTAAATCAAAATTTAAACTTTTCTTTATACCCGTGAAAAAACTGTCACGGCATATTCATGACTCCATTGTGATATGAAGACTAAAACCTAAACTCTATGCACAAAACAGATGAATAAACTAGAAGATTAAAAGATGTCAATAAAACTAAAACAATGCCATCTAACGATCGATTTCGAAATAAAAAGATAAAAATATGCTAAGAACAGCGCCATCTGACAGCTGTCGCAACAACGGCGTCACACAATGGCGGGTCGTGTTTCAAAATCTCGACTTTTAATTTTAATTCTCATAATCAGAATCTCTATATTTATAACAATGTAGATTTTAGTTTTTGTGCAATTTCATGACTTATTTTTCACTACCGAAACTACCCTATTGCATTTGTATATTTTTTTTAACTCACCTCTAGAGCGTCGCATACATATTTCTGAACGTCATCGAAACATGTCACAGGATTATTCGTAAAATCATCTCCCTCTGTGTTGATTTTGCGCACTAATTCCGAATAACAGTTTTCTGGTATACCCATGATAGGCGGTCTATTAGGCGCCAAGAAAAGATCACATAGCTCTAATGCTGACGATCGAAGATTATCTATAACTGCCTTGGAACTATGGGCCGAATCTATAAAAAACACACCAACAAAATATATTATTACAATGCTGAAATATAAGTATTAATAATAAAACTAGGTCGACGTCATCATCGGCCTATTAATGTCTCCATTTTTGGGCCACTGGCCCATATATTAGAGGATATTTGATTATAAATAGGGAATAAGTAGAAAATAGTAAAAAAATTCCACCCAGTGCGGATTGGTGGGTGTTAAGAATTGCTGATGCAGTCGGGATCAACGGCTTCACGTCTTAAAGCACGTCGGAGTTCGAGATAACAAATTTTTGATCACCCATCCCAGCTGATGACCAACGTTTGCGCAAACTGCTTAAACTCCACATCGCAAACCGAGCGTGCTAACCACTTTGCCATCGAGCACACAAAACGAGATATTCATTTGATAATCCGACTGACTAAAGCACGAATCATAATAGATTACATTAAAAATTACGAAATCGAACCAAAAACTATTCGAAAAGAACAAAATAATTATTGTATTACCTTTTGTAACTTATTACAGTTAGTAACTACTAAAGAAGAAAAATTTGATTGCTTGTTTGATGCATTGGATAGGCCCCGAAACTATTACCGATTTATAAAAACCTTCATCAACGGGACACTACATAATACGCGGCGGACAAAGGCTATAATTTACGCAGGCGAAGTCGCGGGGAAACAGCTAGTTAGATAAAAATTGACTCACAATTCGAGAAAAAAAATCGATGAAAATACCTACCCCTATTTATAAACTTTACACATTGATACCTACTGTCCATGATTATAAAATATACATGAAAGAGTAAAGTATACAAACTCGTTGAAAATAAAACATATTCCTTTCATATTTTGAATGAATTCGAAATACGCAATTTTTTATTTTTAGCTGAAACGGACCATGTCATAACATATCATCCTAATATTTAGGTAATATCTGTTGTAATGCGTATTCTGTTTTGTTATAAATTGAAAACTACTTAAATGAACACCTCGAACCATCATGATGGAGCAAAAAAAATTTGAAAATCGGCATTGGCGTAGCTACGGAATTTTTCTAGGAGCCACAATCAAAATCAACGAGCCAGAGCCATGAAGGTTGTTAATTATGAAGTTATTCTATGTATGAGGGAGGGTATTTTTTCTAGGGTATACCCACAGCACTCTAAGGTGGGCCCGGCCCACCCTGACTCGCCCTTAGCTACGCCTATGAAATCAGTTAAGAATTGACGAAAATATCGGTGAACATACATAAAAAAACATCGCCGTCGAACATATGACGTACTCCTATTTTGAAGTCGGTTAAAAATTACCAACCTGATTAATAACAAAACAAACCTTATAACAGAGACCGAAAGAGGTTTAATTTTAAATATTTATATAAATTATTGCTCTAACCTGCTTCACTCAGCTCTATTTCTAATAAGTATTGAGCGCTAGATCTCCAACTGGTAGTAGCTCTCAAAAATTTCAATGATCTCTCTACTTCTTCAGTCATTTTCTCCGTACTACTATTACTTGTGGCACCTAAAAACATATACCAAAATGAAAAAAAATATAGAATTATATCTTTTTATGACCTCATTTTGCAATTGACTTTAATAACATTATAATTAGAATTAATTTCACCCATACATCATCCCTATGTATGCGTGAAATTAATTCTAATGAATCCTTCAATCAGATAGTAGGAAAATATTAGATACACTTTTGTTTTAAGTTTTTTAATATATGTGTATTTTGACAATATTTCGACTCATTTTACTACTTTGACGTGTCTTTTGATGGATGAATTTGGGATAAATGACTAAGTTGGTAACACTGCTGTCAAATCCATATTCATCATTCTTTTCATTTGGCCGTCGTTATTATAGCACATGTCAAAATAGTAAAATGAAACGAATTAGCGCTATAACATTGCTAAGATGACGTTATAGCTAGAAAAGTAGTTTTAAAAAACATTAGATTTTACTTGTGCAATGATGACCACAAATCTATACTAATATTTTAAAAGGAAAGATTTGATTGTTTGTATGTTTGACTAGGCTCCGAAACTACTGGACCGATTTTAAAAATTCTTTCACCTACAGGAAGCTGTATCATATGCAGTGAACATAGGCTACATTTTATCCCGAAAAATAGTAAAAAAAAATGATAAAAACGGGAGTGGAAGATTGTATAGGGAATTAAAACGTTACCATAGTAACCATTGTTTACAATTCAATTTGTCATTCAAATAATTCCCCAGGGAACACGCGGGCGAAGCCGCTGAATTTTCTTCAGTAATATTAACTAAAACTAAATATATTTATATATATATATTATATTATAAGTGCTTCTCACACCTTCCTGTGGTCCCAAAGTTGCTCTCCTAGCTTGAATTATCCTAGTTAAATATTGTAACGATGATAACTTTTGACGATCCTGTATATCCCATTCACCAGCACTATCTCTAGAATGCTGAAAGAAACAAAACGATGTTAAGAATTAAACTGCGTACAGCGTTATCTCACTTCCACAATCGTATTTGGACCGCGTTAAACTCATGGTAGAATACAGAATATATAAACAAGAAAGACAACACTATATAACTAAGACTGTTTAATTGGAATAATACTTTAGAAAAACTTCAGCGGATATTTTTAGTAAGATATTACTTTGCAATAAATAAATGTAGACGACCTAGCTCGGTGGCGCAGAGAATAAGCGCCGCGGCCCGCGATCGTTGTTGTTAAGCAACTTTCCCAAGGGACGGTCACGGGATGCGTGAACAAAAAAATATTATCTCGAGCTATTACTTGTTTCGAAAGGCACGTATAGTTGTTGGTTCCGGCCGCATTTGCAATCGTTACTACTCTAATCCGCATTGGGCCAACGTGGAGGGTCATGGCCCTCCACGCTGCCTCCTCCTTTTACATCAATAAGGAAGGCCTGAGCCCCTGCAGTGGGGACGGATAAAAGGGCTGATGATGATGATGGTGGTGGTGATGGTGATGATAATGATGATGATGAAATAAATATTTAACTTTGATATAAATAATTAATAAGCAATCATTTTTACAACTTACAAGTTTCTGTATGTCCTTCTGAACTAGTTCTAATGTAGCGTCTAATTCCTCAGCATCACCGCAACATCTTATAACTAATAGGAACAATTCTGAAGGTAGGCTGGAATCACGACAGCACTGAAAATGGTAATATATATTTTTTTTTGTTTCTTAAACTCAAACACATGTATTTGTATTAGTGTTGGAGACATGCCCGTCTTCAGGCACAACAGGCGCCCGGGTGCAAGAGTTGCTCTGTATATTTTTCTAACACTAGACTATTCCCTTTCATGAATTAAAAAAGAAGTAATATATTCCACAAACAATAAATATCTATCTATGTGAAACATGGGTAGTATTGTGTGAACTGGTGTCAGTCCAAACACAAATTCCCACATAAAAAATCACTTCGTTTTACTAGCAATTTTTTTCTAGATGTCAGCAGTTGAATGCTTTTAATATTACATTTCAGAATCGGAAAGGTGGGTGATTTTTAGTATTACAACTAAAAATTCCTAAGTGCCGTCTTGTATTATCACGAAATTAATCTAAATGAGATTGGTTCCGCTTTCTATTTGTGTTACAAAATCTCGTCATGAATCTTTTATTCTTATAATTAAACGAAAATCTATAAAAATAAATTTTACTTTGGTTCTTGTCAATGAGAGTGCGTAAGTCAGGCCTTGAGACGTTACTTAACTAAAGAGAAATAGATGATAGAGGTATATATCTGACTATAGTGCTACGTATTAAATTTCATATCGTTAAAGAACTTTCAATATTGAATTGATCCTATTATTCAAAAACAATCTATAAACTCCGTGACGTAGTGGACAAAACTGCAATCGTAGTTTTATAAAAATCTAATATTTTTCTGATAGAGAAAATAGTCTATAAAAATTCTGTGTTTAATAGGATGGACCTACAACAAGAAAAAAATCAACTATTTATTTATTTTATTTTCAGTTCATTTTTTGTTCAATAAAATTTCACAGTTTATTTTGTCTGTATAATTTAAAATGATAAAAATATAACTTTAAAGATGTTTTTCTGTATTTTAAAAATTGTTGCTAGTAACTATGAATAATTGTCAGACATTTATCGGATAATTATCCAAAAAACTTGATTATCTTTATAATTCCGAAACCTGATCTATAGGTACTTATTGTTTTTATTTTTTAAGACCATAATTACATACAGAAAACTGAATGTAAATAGAAAAACAAATGACTTACCAGAATAATAACAATTAGAGATAACTAACATTCAAACCGTTGTTTGAAATAAAAATATACTTACAGTTCTGATAATAGTTCTATTTATGATGTCCGGGTCACTCAATAAATTGATCAATGGCCTTAATACAACTGCTGATAGTAGGTCAATAAGAATCAACTTCAATGCATGGCACTTCCATACTTCTTCTGGGGTTACCAAGTATAATACTGCTTCTGATATTTCACATATTAATGCTGAAACATAAACACAATTATTTGACTGATTGCTAAAATGTCTTGAGGTTTATAATGCTGAAAACACAATAAGGTAATCCCATCTCTCTTGAAAGGCTAGTAAAGCATATGGGCTATTGATTTCAAAAAAAGTTAATAATACATTTGAATCCAAAAAGACGAAATCGCAAGTAAAAACTAGTATAGATATTTCAAGGAAGACAGGTGGCAAACATTATTTTTGAGAGAAGATAACTTAATGATGGCTATGCGAGAAATTTGCAGTTTTGATTAAAATATCAAACAAAATCTATCCAAAGTTTTAATATTTAAACAAAATTTCTTATACGCCACGGAGGGTAGAGGGTAGTCATTGGCAAGCTGGTCCGTCCAATGACCGAGGTAACGAGTTTGATTCCTAGTTTGAGTGTTTCAAATTTACATAATAGAAGTGCTGAAAGGCTATTTCATTTGGGGTCTAAGTAATGTATATGATGGATTCTAATATTTGTATTTATTTATATGTTTTGTGTATCCCCTGTAATGTTACAATTTTGTTGTATATATGAGTATGTACGTCATTTTGTTGTTATTTATGTAAACAACAAAATTATAACATATAAAAAATGTTGCTCTTATTTGATTACTTCAGTTTAAATATAAACATCTCATTCATATGTCACAACAGGTCAATAACGGACCTTAAAAGATTATTGAACCCATTGTGTTCAAAGATTAAGTTATCTTGTTTAATAAGAATTCAAAAGCTCACTAGCTAATTATAACTATGAATTAATCGATGTAATATAATTTCAACTTCATTTGCATTGCCAAGATCAATTATTCGGTAATGTAGCAACTGTGCTAAAATAAATTTCACAAGAAATTATTTAAAATTACCAAAAACACATAATTCATTAGATGATGCGAACTGTATTCGACCGCAAACACAACTTCAGTATAGAAATATGTTACTTTAAATAATACTCACCGTATTCTTTTTCTGCATCAGTACAAAATATATCTCTACATATTTGTCTATTTTCTATTGAACATTCTAAGTCAAAAAACAATTCTGTTAAAGATTTCTCACTTATATTTTCTGTGCTATCATAAAATTTTGATTTCCCAAATGTTTGAGAATCTAAAACAAATAAGATTTTATTGAATTGAAGATAATTAAAACGCGTCAAAGAGAATAAAAAAGTGCGAGTGGATCTTGTGCAAGAAGGGTTCCATTCTATTAAAAAAAAAAAAAAAAAATCATGATTGTTGTATGAGCCCCTTAAATGTTTATTATATTCTGTTTTTATTTATTGTTATGGTGGCAACAAAACTACACTGTCTACGAAAATTTCAACTTGCTATCTCAGTTCATGAAATACAACCTGTTGACATACAGGGTCTCGTTTTAACCCTTTAGTAAATTGACAATGTTAAAACAATGTTGATGAAATTTTAAGATACCAGCTGAACCCTGGTAATCCAGAAGTCAAAGGCATGTTAGCATACAATACTCTTTTTCTTAATGTAATGGGACTTGTTTTAACACTGACACAACCGTGGATTAGACGGTTGTGCAGTCCGATGGCTGAAGCCAAAACTTGGTTGGCCTTTCCAGCATCCCCTCAGTTGAACCCTCTTGCATAGTAACCCGGACTACGAATTCCCATGGAGCATGGTCATATCTAGCCTGATGCAATTTTTTTAGAACAGAAATATATCTCCATTCCCAAGTTGCCTGGAATAAATCCTTTTAACCGACAGGGTTGCCAATTGTCACATAATCTAAGTTAGTCAATTTGAAGTTTGTATCTGCACAGTTTAATGTTAACAGTAAAGAATTATCTATTTATATATAAATTTCACTCATGAACAAGCAACTACCTGGTGGCCATGATAGATCAGTGTCGCTTTTATTTCTTCTGTGCGTTTTTTTTTCATCATACTTCTTTGGACTTGGCTTAGAGTTCCCATTGGATACATCTTTACCATTTAACAGTTGTATGTGCTTTAATCGTACTCTAGATTGCTTGAAAAGTTTCAAATGAGTGGTTATTTCCTCAGGAAATCTAGTTGCTAATATGTGGATCCAATCCACACTTTTTACTCTGCAAATAGATTCAAACACATCAAATAATTTGTTAAATAAAAACTTTTTTATATTAAAGTGATAATCTGGAAATTTTGAAATATCTATAATGTAAAACAATATTTATTTTTCTACCATAATATAAGCTACATTGTAGGCTATAATTACCCATGAGGGAGAGGTTCGCCCATGAGGGAAATCAGCTAGTTAATTATAAATTATGTAATAAAAAAATATACCTCCATTTCAAAATATGTTTGTCTGAAAATAGATTACCTATTTGCTACATTAACACCAGTGGCCAGCACCAATCGTTTTATGGCATGTGTGGTAAACTCTTCATCGTTTGTCAGAATTTCATACCATGGAGTCACATAATCATTTACAATGATAGTGATGATTTCATTAATAAATATATCTACTGTATCACTTCCTGTGATTCTGTTATCAAATTTTGGTAATGTTGTGTTTTGTTTGAACAAATCAATAACCTGCAGGACAGATTGATACAAACTTAATGTACATATTAACAAACATCAGGCAGGTATATACAAAGCAGTCAAATTTCACTTGAATTTAAATCTTAATGCATGGAGTTCAAAAGTAACTTCAAAATTTTTACATATTATTGTATGCTGAGATGACTGCATCCTACATGGTACAGCATGTAGGATATTAAAATACGTGAAATTTTGCACACAAAATATATTAATAAACATAATAAAAACCCATTTCTTACCTTAGGCAAACTGATGGAAAAACTGATTTCTTGTAAAGGATCATCAAGACTCTCCAAATCAACAGAAAATATTTTTTTCTGATCATAATTGAAATATAACACGGTCAGTACTCTGAAACAGCAAAACAAGATTTGAGCCACTATATTAATTCTCTTTAGAGGAATGATAAGATTGTTTGTTTGCATTGAATAGGCTCCGAAACTACTAAACTAATTAAAAAATTTTAGTTATAATTTACACAGGTAAAGTTGTTGTACACAGGTACACCTAGTATACAATAAATTAACTGTTTAGTAAATCATACTCTTTGTAGGAAAAGTACTTATACAACTAAATAATTATACAACTTAAACACAAAACCATCTACATATAATTGTTTTATGTTATAATATACAGTAAAGTTTTTGGATTACTTTTTTAAAACTTAAAATTCTTGTAACTGCAATAAATAGAAAATATAAACCTCATTCTTCACTTCATGTGCATTCAATAAATAAATATATCACTATTTGATACTGCCGTAGCGCCAAACAATTTACAATAACGATAACTTCAATATTGCAAACATTTTTGTACCAATTTACATTATTTTAATTAGTTTTGTGTTGCCACTACTGCTAGTATAAGGCGAGCAATGGTTTTGTTTGTAAACACTTTAATTTATTACTTTCATTTATTTACTACCCGTGTGACACATAGATTATATATAAACCGCTGATGTAAAATAAAAACCACTTACCCAATGAGAAACGTTAACAAAAATGTAAGTAAACATAAATACCATCCGACGCCAAATAAACCCGTTACAATTACCGTAATGAGGCCAAACCAGCCAAATATTCCCCACATCATTTTATAATAACTTTAATTACAAAAATATTTTAGAAAATAGATCATTTCGTCGATTTCTGCTTAGAAAACAATATAAAAATAAAGAGAAAACAAACTTGACAATATTGAAATGACAACTTGAACTCTGACTAGAAGTGATGTCCTGATTGCAGAAGACCAATCGATTTTTTATAAATGCGATGTTTAAAAAAAATATCGTTTCGTTCCATTGGTGCTTAGTATAACTGTATATCTATTTACCAATATTCTTTTTTTACACCGTCCTTCAATTATTATTATTGAATCTCTATCCTATTCGTGCAAAACGAAATCATACGGAAATGCTCATTAAAGTACCTACACAAATAATAATGTTTAGATCTTAATATGTTTGCGTGGAATGATTCTATCTTGAATAACTTTAAGCTATTTATATTCCTTACCCATTGATTTTCATCATAAGATGTACATTAGCACATTAGCAAATCTTATGATGAAAATCAATGGGTCCGTCAAATTTATCGAATGGATCGTTTATCTTTCATTGAAATCAGTCGAGTGGTTTTGAAATTATAAATTATAATTGATTAAATTTTTCACAGAATTCACCTTGGTATCCTATGAACGCGTGACTTCACGTTAAAAGGTGTCGCACTCGCGACACTGTGTCAATAATACATTGCAATGGTTTCTCGATCACAATAACAATAACTTAAATTCTGTTGTGTGTATAAAATTTTCTATGTGGATAACGGTTTCGAAAAAGTATCAGAAAACTTGCCTGAAATAAATAAATAAATATTGCCCACACAGGCGTAGCTTCCACCGTATAAATTATTCGGGGCCCCCGGGCCACTGGAGCCCCCAACGTGCGTAAGAAAAAAATAATAAAAGCTTCCCAAATTTCTTTTTATTTCAGAAATTCAAAAAATAATAATAATCGATGTATATATAATTAACATTCCTACAGTTTATACAATTTTTTTGCTTATGTGAAAAATCTTTACCCTACATAAGGGCCCCCAAACAAATTTTATACGGGGCCCCGCTAAGAAACGCTACGCCACTGATTGCCTACTACTTTTCATAAAACTCCCAAGGCTTTTGGAAGTTTTTTGAGGAGCGAAGAGTAAAAACGCTAATGCTACGCTAGTATAACTCATTAAATATACAAAATATTGAACTCATAAATATTATCCACTTTTAAACTTTTTGTAAAATGTGTATGTGATGTGTGTTGCCAAATAAAAACCTATTCTATTCTTATGTCATACCTACTATTTGTTTACAAATAAATAGTTGATAAATATATTTTATGTCGTCTTGACATATTTACTGGCGTGTGACGTCACAAACACCAGCGGCATTACATAGAGCAGCGGTTTTTATACAATTTTGGCTATTTAAACTTAAACAACTATTTTTATCGAAAATAGAACAGATTCCCATGAAATAAATTGAACTCAACTATTTGTATGAAATCTTTTAGCTAAAACTCTTGTACATCACTAGAACTAGCTAAGATTTATTATATCGTTTTGTTATAGTTTTTAATAAGAGGCAATAGATTCTAGTCAATACATCCTTTAGTAGTTAGGCAACTTTCAGCCAGCAGCTTCAGTGTACTCTGGTACTGGCTTTATAAACAGACATGAGGTTTATTCGATGACTTGACAGTACATTTATCCCTACCTAGGGAACCATTCAGTGGACCAAAAAGTATTATATCCGTCCTTAAATAATCAACTCCCACCAAAAACTCTACGTCCAGTCAATCTCAACACTCTTCTATCTATAACCTGGCTTTCTATGTCTTTGCAAATTTCATAGAATTAATAAGTACTACGTACAACTAGAATGCTTACTGTGCGTCTAAACACGCGCCGAGTGAGAGGTCATAAATCTTGGTTTGTCCCTTTCTGAGTAGTGTAACCATTCTTACTTGAATACATTGGACATTAAAAGAAAATATTGATTATTGAAATTGAATAATATTAATATGAAGCAGAAAAAATTCTTATTCAATCTCAACTCAACAATAATAAATTTTGAAACTATGGAAATCAGCAATTTTATAGGCAGACCTCCCCCCCCCCCCCCCACTGGGGGAAGACCTAATAATAAAACGCAATCAAAATAGTATATTTTATTATGACTGTATTGTTTACATTTTAAAATTAAACATTACTTAAAAAAATTGTTTTGTGCAATTTATGGCGTAAAGTAGCGCGAGATGTGCCAATGGCCTTGAATGTGAGACCTTTGCCATAAGTTGACATTCTTATTATGAGAATCTCATGCCTTTGTTGGATTTATTTTTGTTCAATTGCTGATGAATATTTGGGAAACAGTTTGTTATGACAGATTGTACCTTTTCATAATTTTTACAATTTTCTTTTAAAACTGCTAAAAGTGACTTTAAATTATTAATCTTCATCTTCATGTCTCTTCTTTTGATTTTTGCCTAGTATTAATATCAAGTTTTAACTTCTTACATGAAGGACTTTAGTCAGGCGTATAACTAAAGGCGTTTAACACATTATTTTTTTTGTTATCAGGAAAAATCTGTAATGAAATTAGGTAGGTACATAAAAATAAGTTATAATATGAATTGTTGTTTTAACTTATTATTTTCGATATAATGTTGTTTATAAATGAGTGCTTTAATATTAGGTAGGAACCTTTGGCAAGATTGAAGGAATCACTTCTGATTTCAGCCTTTTTCGAGCCTCTGTTCGGTAATTTTTGGGTTTGAAATGAAGTGTACAAACCACACAGCTTTCATCTAAGTTCCCAGGTATCAACCATTTTTTCTTTAACTCTAAATCCGATGGCAAACTGGAAATTTAAATTAAAATGTATATTTTTTATTATAGTAATAATTTGGTTTGGTTTGGTGTGTAAATAGATATTTGCAAAAGATCGATCAAACGATAAGCCTACTGACCAATAAAATTATTAAAGGATACCCATTTATGAGCCACCACATGCTTGCTTAATGTAGGTAGACTTGCAAATAGTAAATAACCAAAGTGTTAAGTGATACAACAATTTTAAATTTAGTACTTAATTAGGCAATAATAGGGTCTATGCTTATAGTACGTACGTACTTTACATCTCTATACGTAAAGTATAGTCACCCTAGTTTCTACTGATGACATACTTACCTGTGAAAAGATAATCCACAGCCAGGTACGATTCTTTCCCATACCCACTCACAGCACATATATTGTTTACCATTTTTCAATCCAATATACTATTTAAAGCACTTTTTTAATTCAGAGAGCATTAAAAACAAGTCCATATGACAAAAAAGAAAACGCCATGTTGCTTTTGTGGTGCCACGCGAATACTTCAATTTACCTATACTCCATTCATTATAACATTAGAAAAAAGAGGGTCATAGAAGCAGCAGTGCATAACATTTTATATTCAAGATAAATTTAAAAAATAAATATTATAGTTTTGTTGAAACTTTGAACGTTAGTTAGTGTGAAAGAGCTGGGCAATTTTCCATTTTTTATGATACCTCGGGGCTGAGATGAGACCAGCATTTTAAGTAAGTGTATATAATTGGAAAGAAAGGTAAACAAAAGGATTTTTTTATTATTACCTTTATAAAATTTACTCAGATAATAGACTATTGATGAAGAAATTGCAAAAACTTCCTGAAATGTCAAAGGTTGAGGGTAGGTTTTGGGGCTTAAAGAGTAATAGGGATGTTGACAAATTTTTGTTTGTTTGTCCGTCAGGTAGAGTGTTAAAAAATATTAAACACATAATTTTTTTATTTTTTTTGTCATCATAAAATTACGTCGTTACATTGAGTTGAAATTTCGCATGACGTCACGCTAGAGTACCTTTTCTACTCAACTGTGACGTAGCGAGCCCCACTCCTCAACTTTAATGCCTGTTATCTAAGCTATTTCTTGTTAATTTGAAGTAAAAAAAAACGTATCTAATATTTTTCTATTATATAACTGACGGACTAAATAGAATTGCATTTTTTTACCCAGTCATCATCCCTACTGTTGTAGTCCACTCGGGCCTGCACCGGCATCGTCCATATTTAACAAAACTTAACTTGACAACAAAAACAAAACTATTACAAAATAGAAATAAAACAATAACAACTTAATAACGGAAAACGGCAAAACAACAAGAAAGAAAAAAATCCCAGATGATGTATTTTGACAATTATGAATACATCATAGTCTGACAAAAGTAAAAAGTTGTACTGCCGAAACGTTTGAAAGGATTAGGCGACGTTTTAAATTTGATAGAATTATAGTGACATGAGAATCGTGCCGAAACTATCCAACCCTGCTTCTTTAGGTTCTTTATGATGAACACTCTTTATTGTAAATGTTATTAAATCATTTAAGTTAGTCAAATACTCATAAATTTGTTTAATAGATAGCTTAAGTGACAACAGTTAAGTATAGCAGCTGGTATTTAAGTGGATATGTAGCAAATTAGTCGTCAATCTTAAGAGTAACATGACTATTGATATTTTGTCACAAAGTATACCATAAAAAGAACCTTATTTAACTTCTGTCTAATGCTATAATGAATGGAGTATAGTGTTGCATAACGTAAAGGTAATAAAACATGCCTACAATATTGAAATGTCGTGAAATATAAAAACTTTGATTTATCTGGACCTAAAAGCTATTGCATTTATATTATTAGTAAACTTATAAACAAGCCAAATATAATATTCATATAGAAAACGTTTTGTTCTGTGTAAGCAGCTTTCACGAATTTACCACCTTTATATCAACAATATTTCACATGGCAATTGTGCGACAGAGACACACCAAGAAAAAAGATGTCTCACTTGAGCTCATTTCTCTATGTAGATAATGGTTATTTAAAAAACACTTTATTCACATATCATTAAGGTTCATTTTGATATGTCAAAAAGATCGCAGTTAGCATTCCAGTTGTACGTAGTACTTATTAATTCTATGGCAAATTTATATAAAAAAAATATCAAATTATAACAATAAGTGTTGCAA